TGGCCAAGATGATGAGGACATTACCTGTGAGAGCCACAAAGTAGAAGGAGAGGAAACATCCGAATAAGAGCAACCAGTATTCTTGGTACTCTGAAAAGCCCTGTAGGATAAACTCTGTTACCATTGTCTGGTTACTCATAGTCCTGCAGATGAGAGGTGTTTTGGGGACTATCAGGAGAATCTCCACCCACAGCTTCATGTGATTTCAGGACTTGGGAGAGAAACAAAAGCTGTCTTAGGAAGGCTGCTACAATGTTTCATTCATACCTGACATCACTGTTTGACCTATTTTATATGGACAGACTAGGACTTACTAATCAAGACAAACATACTAATATAACAATAAACAAAGGGACATAAATATGCAGGTCATAAAAAGCAAATGCAAATGGACAATTGTACTCCTGAAATGAAATTTGACCTCAGTCAAACGGCAGTGCATTTTTTTGTCCACTATTTATCATCTCTTTTTTGACAAAGTTAAACAGACATGATAATAACCATCATCGGCATAGGTGCAACGATGCAGGTCTTTTCAGTATGTGTTCCATTTGAGCCAGAACTTTCACTTGTAGGAATTTATCCTTAAAAAGTTTAAGAATATCTTCAAGGTGTCATTGTAGCACTATTTATAATAGTCAAAATTTGAAAGTAGTCTGTATTCTGAAAAGTGAGTATATTGACATACTGGAATGCTGTGTCATTATCAAAATTATGCTTCAGGAGTATTTTATTAACACTTATAAAGTAGAATGAAAAAAGTATTTTAAATAGTGTGTACATAGTATACCATTTTGTTTTTTGGTTTTGTTTGTTTTTTAAAGATGTAGGAAAAAATCTGGTGAGTGACAGATCAAACTTTGAATAGTGGAATGGATTATGGTTGATTTTTATCTCCTTCCTTGTGCTGATATATATTTTCTGATTATTCTATGTAAGGCCATGGTAAGGAGAAGAGGATGCACAAAAGTGAGGTTAAAGAGAAGTTTTTATTTTGTGCTTCCGGGCAAGGTTCACAGGTCCCTGAGAGGGGCCCGAGAAGTTGTGCCACCTGGCTGGGGAGAGTAGGGTTTATAGTCTTGTAGAGGACTTAAGTGGGGACACTAAGGAAATGGCGGGGTCCAATTAGTTGTTGGCATGGGTTGGCACCTAATTAACATGAGGGGGCTTCACAGGAGGAAGTTTATCATCACATGGGGCTTTCCAGCCTGGGCGGGTTCTGCCACCTCAGTTGTCTTATCAGGCTGTCTCGTCAGGACCTGACACCTGGAGGAAGCTGCCAACTGAAATGTTGGTGGCTTGAGTTTACTCTGGCCTAACATTCTATACAGTGACCTTTCTAAATGGCCAATCCATCACATAATTCTCTTAAAATTTCTTCTGTGATTCCCCATTGCTGACACTGTGTTTCATTTGATTCTGCATTAACTCATATCCTGCATAACCAGTCTACTGATACCCTCCCCTGTGGTTGCTACATACACCTCATCCATCCCTTCTTGGCACCTAGGACCATGACTGGCATGGAGGGTGGGGATGGACTCAATTACGTTAGTTGAAAGAATGCTGAAGAACAATCAAACACTAATAAATGCAGAATGCTTTCTATTCTCAAGACAGTATGCATTCTATATTGTTTAGGATGAAAGCAGTATCATACCCATTCACTTTCTTTTTCCTTTCAACTAAATGAGTTAAGGAAGATGTTCATTTTTAATTAAGAATTCTTCTTTCAGTCAAACTTCAAGAAATGCATTCACCACTAAAGTATTAAAAAGGTTTATGTAAAATGATAAAACCTCAACTACAATTCAGATCATACCACCATTTCTTAAGGTGAAGACAAGAGCTGTTCTTTGAACAGCATGAAATTTCCATGACTCAGAGTTCAAAATTGATGTAAGTGATAAAATTCCACCTCTGTACTTTCCGAGAAGCAAATTACATTGGTGGATAAGTAACATATTCTTTGGTTTATTTCAGTTTTGTTTCTGAAAGGGACAAAGGATTGAATAATTACTTTTTGCACTTTTAGTCTAGGAATTGTATAAATAATTGTGCAATTTTATTTCCTCCTCACTACATCTCACTGAGTGATTCCTGTTAAACTCCAGGGAATCCTTTGAGACTGAAAATCTGAGGATGTATATCTCAGTGTAAGGTTTCTGCACTTCCCACTAATGCCTTTCCTAGGATTCTCACCACCTGAACTCCTCCCTTTCCCCACAACATCCACTGTCCACCCATACTACAGTGCACATGACAAGGAAACCAGAGACTCATACGACTGGACACAAATATATCCATTACCAAACACTACAAAGATGTAAGTGTGCCAGGTTTATCATACACTATTGGAGCATCAACAGAATCTATTACCAAGGAAACCTTAAACTGATCGTTCATTAATTCAGTTCCAGAACAATGATAGCAAAAATTTGCAACATAAATCATTTTGAACAGATGCTGAGTACAAGAATGTTTCAGGAAACTGATTCAAATTCATGGAGCAAATTACCTTTTCAGATAATTACCCACTTACTGTAACTTACAGGGCAGGTAGGCAGTCTACTCATACAATTAGTCAGCAGGGACAGCAAGGAATCAAGACACTAAAACTCTTAGCATGAGATTGACCACGAAATCTCTGTTGGACCTCAGCCAGTCATTTCTTCTTCTGAAAATAACAAAGAATTTTCTCCCTTGAGATTTATAGGGTTTAATTCTCATCAAGCATCACAAGATTTTTACTAAGGAGGTAAAGGGGACAAAAAACAAAAATTCAGGAAACAATTCCCAAGTTTAAACACATACTACATTTCACAACACAGTGACTCCCCATGGGCAAAATGATAAGACATTTAAGCATTGATTATTTTCCACAATTATCATACCTGTCAGTATCTAAGTTTCAGAGAGAATAAAAATTCATCTTGCATGATTTTCCTCAAAAATCCCTGAAATTGGAATGTTCCTTGTATTGAGTTTTTCCCAAAATTCTGTTGAATTTTATGGGAAAACAGTTTACTTTTAGTAAAGTTTTATATTAACTCCAATTTATTACTCAGAGTTTCACAAATGGAAAATTGTTAGTATTTTAAGGTACTGTAATTAATAATGGATAACTTGGCTACTTCCATTATTTTTAACCTTAAAGGGAATGGAAGTTTTTTTTATAATTAACACATACTTAAACCAATACTCTTACATCATGTTAATTATATAAACACACCTAATGAAAACTTATTTTAAGAACAGCAATCTGATAATCAAAAATATAAAAATCTCATACATTAAGTTTTAAATATAGAAGACACTTTGAAGATCACCTCGTCCAATATATTTTAAATTCACAAAGGAGTCTAAGTGATTAACCACTAGTAACACACAATATTATTGGCAAAGCTATACCCAGAGATTTGAGATTCCAGTCCGTAATTTTTTGTTGTGTAACTTAATAATTCCTACTCTGGATCCAACTGTCAAATGTCAAAGAAAATTCAACAAATAATTTATATGATCATTTATTAGGGTTAAGGTGTGAAATGGGAACCCTAAACTCTCAGCCAGTTTTGGCACTCCACTTAACTCTATTATTTCATGTAATGTTCCAACAGTATAATGTTGTTGTTGTTGTTATGTGCTATTGAGTTAATTCTGACTTATAGCCACAGTGTATACAACAGAACATAACACTGCCCAGTCCTTCACCATCCTCACAATCCTTGTTATGCATGAGCCCATCATTGCAGCCACTGTGCCAATTCAGTAATAATACATAGTGTAAAATCCACAAATGTTACTGATTCTAGATATAAACAAACATAAATAAATAATCCAGTCTTTTATGCAATTAATGATCCAAAGTAATCAGATTTAGTGTTATGAACAGAACTTTTCTTATCTTTTTTTATATCACCCAGTGGAATGAATTGTTCTCAGAATCTCACAGTTACCTTGGAAAAATTCTTTTACCTTTCTTGATCTAATAGATCTTATGTGTGGAAGTCCTTTCTCTGTCAACCACGATTGAGGTCGTAAACATGGTACACTGAAGTAGTTGCTGTCTGTGACAAGATCAGTCTTGATGGGATGAAGGCTTTTTTTCTCCTATTTAAGTTGATCTTGCCAAGAATTTGTGACTCATCTTCAGCAAAGTTTGCCACTGCCTGTGGGAGACACTTAGGAGAGATGTTCACAGCTATTACTCTAAGTGGACCCTGAAGGAGCAATTAAATTAGGTGTTTCTTTGTTGGAGACTTGTCTATTACCAGTGTCCACAAAACAGCCAGTTCAGACTTCTATTTAAACCTGCATAAAAGAGTATAATTCTGAACAGTGGGACAGGGTGCAACCCTCTCCCAGCTCAGACTGAGGGGCAGGGAATACCAGGCTCTCAGAACTCAGAATAATGTGTTCATATATATGGACAGGAGAAAAGATGTCCAGTGGGCATCTAGATTTCTAGAGCACCTTGTATGAAGACTAGAAGCATGGAGCAAATGTTCCTGTTCCCCCAAAATAAACGACTCCCTCTAACAGAATTGTTCCCCCTCACCTTCCCTAATTCATACCTTGGCTATCCCACCTTCTCATTGCTTCTCTTCCCTACATCACATTTTCTCTTTATCCATATCTCACATTGATCTACCACCATCTCCTGGGTCAGGTTTTCCTTGATTCACTGGGAGAGAAAGTCAGTCCCTCTGCTGCACCTCTGTTACTTCCAAGGGTTTCATAAAAACAT